TAATTTTAATGTAAGTGCAGGGAAGCACAAGGTCAGTTTAGCTGCAGTGTTATCCACGCTCAGAGCGGAACGGCTGCCTGTGACTGACTCGCTGTGGACACCCAACTGCCGCCTCCTGCCGTGGCTTTTGGCAGAGACGCTGCTCAAGCACAAGCACTGGCCTGCACCCCAGCACAGCTGTGAGCCTGAACTCTTCCCATGTGCCTTCTAGTCCTTAATCAGAAATTTGGTCCTTGGCAGACTGGAGGTCAGCAGATCTGCAGGAGGCAGTTTTTGGGGCCGGTATATTTGTGCATACCTACATTGAGTGCTGGAAAAACTGACCTTATTGTAGCCTGGTACCTCCGGCTGCCGGAGCAGCCTCCTCTGCTCCAGGGTAAGCCTAGCTGAAGTGAAAGGGTCAAGCTGCTAGGAAGGGCTCAGGGATAAGTGACAGAGAATATGGCTCAGGATTGCTGCACCAGCTAGCTGTCCTCGGAAGGGGGAGGTTCGAGTGCGCCAAGGCTCATGCTTTGGTGTAGTAAGCGTGCTGTTTCTTTAACAGCATAAAAGCACAATGTGAATGGCTGGCTTCCTGCAGATTTTTGTTGTTGTTTGCTTAGCTATGTGGAAATGTATTTGATTAGAAGACAGAGAGAGAGGTTAAAAATAGGACATTAATATGATATTATTTGTTTTATCAAATAAAATGCTTAGAAAATGTTTATCTTGTCTCATGAGAAGAACAAAAATAGAGGCTGGCACTTCTCTGCAGCTCCCTTTAATGAGCCGAATTGGGCTGCATTCTTGATGCCTCTAGAAGTTTTGGGGTGAAATGAAGGAAGTTCTGAACAAAATTCCTTGTAACCACAAGCACTGGGTGTGCCTGAATGTAGAGCCAAAAGCATCCTTTAATTGTGCTGTTTTTCCTCCTCTTATTTTTAATGGAAGACATTCCCATTTGAGAACCTTAGAAGCTGACATTAAGGGCTGGATTCTGCCACCCGTATTGCCACTGGTGTGTATGGAACTCTCCTGGTAACTCTGTGACAGCCAAGGGGGCTGTTTGTGCAGTGGAGCAAGACCTGTGATGTGCAGGGGAGGCAGGATCAGAAACACGGCATATTATGGGCCTGGGGAAGGGTGTGTTATTTGTTAGATTTTCAGAATGCGTTCACAGAAGTTGTATTTACTTGTAATGCAGTGAGTCAGATAGATACTGTGGATGAGTGGGAGAAAAGGTGGTGAGATAGTGTCTCCTTCACTTTTCATTCTTCATGCCAATAAATGTAGCTATAGATGAAAATTCACTGTGAATGGCTGTAGCTCCAAGAATTTCTGTATGTTAGCATTTCTTAAATGAAATAATTCTCCTGGAAAGCTCTGTGTAACATACACAGACCCCAAAGAAATAAATAAAAGAAAATAAAAAAATTGTAACCAAAGAACCCCAAGTTGAGATTTTTAACAGTAAAAGGAGATTTTGTGTATTAATAATTCATGAGTTCTCATTGAACATGCACGAAGAAACGGTGCTATTCAATAGAGAATACTGTCATCTGTCACTGTTTTATTTGACATTTACACTTTTTTTTTTTTTTTTTGCCTGGTACTGCAAAACTTTCTTGGATGGCGTGCTAAGATTATTTAAATAAATAATTAAAAAAAGCCCATGCAGACTTTTCATCTGTGCATGGGGAAGGCAGTTACTTGCAGTCATAAGGAACGTGCGAGTAATGCGGCGCTGTGTTTTCTCACGTATTAGTCAAAGCTATTGCCTAATAAACAGCCCCATAGATGGATAGATAGGGTCTTGAATGAGTGCCCGAATAAAGAAAGGGAAGGGTAGAAAAAGAGCAGTGAAAGGGCAGATTTGATGCAGATAAGTGTACGCATGCACGCAGCGGGTACGCGTGTGTGTGTGCGGGGGTGAGCGAATAATGGCTGTTGTGAAGAAAGCTGCCACAAATACATCGCCGCCGCTGGTGCAAAAATAAATATTTATAAATGGGTGTTGGGGGAGATCCAGTCCCGCACAACGTGAGAGAAGACAGGGCATTTAGCACAATGACAATTCAGTTAGGTGCACCTTGCAATTTCTTGCTAATATTAGGCTCATGGAAATCTTTCTGCTCTGTAGGTTAGTTATTATTTATAAAAATCACAGAACCAGCTGATACATTCATAAGCTAATTATTGTAGCAGCTGGGTACACATGGTGCAATATGTCTGAGGCTGTGAAGTATCACAGATTTCTTGGGGCCTGCTGTGGTGGGGGTGTGCTGTTGAAGGCTAGATCCCTTAATCTGATCAGCCAAGCAAATACTTTGTGGGGAAACTGGATTAATATCTCTCTAAATACCACGGATGTGCTTCACCTTCAGAACCAGGCTCCTTTAAACGTGCCATTAGCTTATCTCCTTTGGGGAATGGAGAAGTTCTCAGGTGTCCTCAGGATGGCGGGGTCTTTGCCTGGTGCCTCCCTTTGCCAGAAATTAATTTGGTTTGCTCGTGTCTGCACACATGGTCACACTGCGGTCTAATCTTTTCCCTAATAGCTCCAAGGTCAGGACCTCAAATGTTGCCAGGCAAATTGAGCGCTATCCTTCTTAAAGACTAATGGCAGAGAGTGCCTAGTCCATAATGAGGCCTGTAGTGTTGCTCTAAGTGATTGTAATGAGTGCTGATTATAACGGGACAGATAAATCAAAGCGCAGCAGTTGCCATTGGGCTACCCGGACCAGCCCCGGGAAGGGGAATTGGCCCTGCTGAGCCGCCCCTGGGCTCTGCCAGAGCCAGGCACTGTGCAGTGCCTTGCAGCCCTCGGGGAACCCCAGGAGCTGTCCTTCCCCAGGGCCTGCCTGGCATGGGCTCCAGCTTCACCAGGTGCAGGGTTTTGTGTGTATTTTCTGTTACACAGTGGGTCTTCATGCTGCAGCATCCCCCAGGAGATGTTAAACATACCTGCTTGAGACATTTGAAAGAGTTCCATTGGAGACTTATTCTGCTCACTGAAAACAGGGAGAAACAGGAGCTTATTTTTTTCCACAGATGGTTTATTTTCCATTTCAAATATTATTTCCTTTGTATGGAGGAACCCCTGAGAAAACACTGTGGAGTTGGGAGACCTTCTTCCTATCTTTTCTCTAAAAGAGAGAAAGTTTTCAGTGGATTTTTGAGCAGTGGAAGGTGACTGAGGAGAAGTGAGGGTAGGGGATATGGCCATACCACATTAAAATGCAGACTTCACCTGGCTAAAAGATTGCCCAAATACCAATCAAAACACTTTGAAAATATAATACAGGTTTTCTTTCCCTAAGTAAATGACTAGATATCTTGTTTTCATCCTTGCCCCCCTCCCCAGCCCTCCTAGTTTATTGCAAGAAAAGATCAGGTCTGCACAAATGTGGCCTCTCACTTGTAAAAACAAGGCAGTGTTGTGTTACAGATTAGTTTATAAATCCCTGGTGGCTTCACAGTTCAGTGCCTACAGCTGCTGCAGATGGGCCTGGGTTTTTGTCTCTTCGCTGTGCTGCAGCCGGCAGTTGAAGGAGAAAATGGAATGATCAGGTTATTAACATGTAGGCCGTGAGGAAGAGGCTGCACAATGAGAACAGCTGGTGTTGCTGTCTTGGCTGATGCAGCGGAGATAATCAAATCTTGCCTTTTTTGGGGGGGTGAAGGCAGAAGACACAGTGGAGAGTAAGACAAACAACGGCTTATGATATTATACACGGAGTTTAGAGTGCACAGTAGAAGTTGTCAATGGCTTCTTACAAGTTGTTACACAAAAAAGCAATACCAAAAAGCCCCTACCATGGGCTGGTAATGAACTCGGCTGTTCAGCTTGCTCCGGTCACTGTTCAGAAAAAACACAGTTTTGGCTACTTCCTGTACCGAATATTTTTAACATTGATCCAGCTATCTTGTAGGTATTGTAAGGTGCCTGTCAAAATGGTGTCAGTATGCTGAGCTGTAGCTCGAAATGATGGGTTATAAAGCTACTAGGTAAAATATTTTGACAGGAGTCAGTAAGGCGCGTTGACAGCATCCTCGGCATTATCTTCCCATCTTCTGTCGTTTGCATCGCATCTCCTGTGCAGGCACAGGAGGGGAGTCACTGTCTCCAGCCCCAAGTGGGCTGGCTGCTGGCAGGAAGGACAGGCTGGCTGTGCCCTACTCTGGGCAGGTGCAGCAGCAGCCACCGTCCCTTGGGTAACCTTATGGGGACACCGGGTCACTGCTGCCCTCACCTGAACAGCTCTTGCCATTGGGTTCTCTCCTTGCCTTTGGCATTCAGGGTGGTTTCTGCTTCCTGGAGCACTGGCACTTTCCCCTCAGGGGTCTGAGCAGTCAGTCCCCGTGGAGAGGTCCTACAGCTCTTTACATACAGCAGTAACATTTCAAAGGCATTTCAAACTAACCCTAAAATAATACAGCAGGATTAAAATCTGCTATTACTGTGCTCTGTAGTTGGGTTTAGAATAACCTCCGCCTAGTATCTTCATTTCTCTAGTAACATCTGCAGGACTCTGTTTGCCGCTTTTGTGCTAAATACCAGAGGATTCCCTTTCTGTGAGGTTGTGTCTTATCTAAGATTTGATTATTTAAAGCTTTCAAATTTCAGTGAGGTTCAGAACTTGGGTAGTCAATGCAACAGAGTGACAGCAAATCAGAAGTCTTTGCTTGATAGTATCTGGTACTAAACATTTTCAGTAGTGTTTCTATAGGAAAAATATTTATATCCAAGCATTTTAAACCTGGTGTGAATATGATGGGGCAAGATGCTATGCTGCCTGGCTCCTGCTAAGCACTGCTACTTGCTTCAGTTTCTCCAACTTGAAGGAAGTAGAATATATCAAGGATTTGTCAAGACCAAAGGGCACCTGAGGACTGGGGGAGATTTTGTGTGTGAGACCAGCAAAACTTGCACCACAGAGCTGCTAAATGTAGCTGACCTTCCACTCACATCTGGTTCCTTGGCATTCTGTGAATTGACTGTGCTGACCCTACCATTGCAGGGCTGGCTGTGTGAGCTGCTTCGCTGGAAAGAAAACCCAAGTCCGGAAAACCGCACCCTTTGGGAGAATCTCTGCACCATTCGCCGCTTCCTGAACCTTCCCCAGCATGAGAGGGATGTGATCTATGAGGAAGAATCCAGACATCACCACAGCGAGCGTATGCAGCATGTTGTCCAGCTCACTCCCGAGCCTGTGCAGGTCAGAGCAACAACTGCCTCGTCAGGGTGTCTGTGTGGGAGGTAACACAGGGGGTTTGAAGAGTGTAACATGGAGAAGTGCTTTTTATGTATCGACTGAAACTTAAAAGTACTTCTAAAACGACCATGGTGAGCGTTTTGTGGGGAATGGGCCTTCATTTTACAGCCTCCTTAGGATTATTTTGTCCTCTATACAATATTTATGGCTAGTATGAATTTTTGGTTTGTACACCTATCTTTGCCCTATCTTTGTCTAAGGTGTTAATAGAATGAAAAATAAATAGATACAAATATGCGTAGAGAAAATAAAATGAAAATTCTGCGAGACTTCTCATCTTTGCAGTTCCAGCTTCAGTCAAAAGAGAAAATCAGCCTTATGTGTATTCCTAATAACTAGTAACGCATGCCACAAAACCAAACATCTGCAAATGGTCAAGAGAGGCTCAGAAGATGTTTCTTCAATCTAAAAAGCTGAGGCGACACCTCCCATATCAGACCTTCCCTTTGAATTTCCAGTGGTGCTCGGTCCCATTCACCTGATCCCATTGTGTGACCACTCTGAGTATCATCCCTACTGCTCTTCTCTGATCATCTCCGTTCCTCCTCCCACCTCCGCTCTCCCCACTGTTGTTTGATGGTGGATTGCACCGCTTTGCCACTCTTTCTGTGAACCTTGGCATTGAGCCTCTATTCTTTGTTGTTGCTTGTGTGCTGCTGCTGCTACCACTGCTGCCAACCATCTCGTCACCTCATTTTAAAGGTGAGAGGGTTTTCTGTCACACTGTCCTGCCCCACCTGAAACACATAGGTCTCACTCAGATTAATTATTGCCTAGTTAGTGCTTTGTCTCTTCTGCTAACAACTTCCTCCTTGCTTTCCTTTTGGTCTTTGCCTGGAAGAAAAAGTCTGTTTCCTGGGGTTTGGATTCTCAGAGCTAGGAGAAGTGCTCTGAGTAATTAATGTTTCAAAATGTTTGTGGGATCTTGGAGGTAAGGAGCTACAAAAGGATAAAGAGCCGAGCTAAGGTGGGAAGACAACTAGACCTGCATAGATTTGAACATATTAGCCCAGTTCTGATGCTCACAGCAAGTGGGAATATCCTCTAAGGGAAGTTAGAAGAAAAAGTTTCCCTGGGCTCTTGTGGGTGACCTTGATGATTAGCCTACTTTCTAAAGCCTTCTGCACATCACTTTTCTGCATCGTGCAGGTTGACTCTTGTGAGTGACACGTTACACTGTGTTGGAATGTTGTGCATTTGTATTTGTCAGCAAGTTACAAAGCCATGGATTAATTTTTTATTACAGTCAAAATATGAAAAATGAAGAAAAATAAATGGAACCAGCTGGCAACCACATACAACAAAACTCTGGAGACCCTCGTATGCAGTTGATACAGTAGGCTTGTGTTTTGGGGATGCTGCATTGTAAAGCTATGCTTGCCCATCCAAAAACCCCAGTAGGTTTCTGAGTGACACACTAGCAGTGCCAGGCACGGGAGGCTTGCTGTCCACCTGCTCCCTACTCAAAAGATACCCAGCACCAAGCAATTTTTTTGTGTCGTTTTCGGTCTCTGGGACTTGAATTGTTTCAGGCAGCAAGGTTTGTTTTTTGGCTTTGCTGCAAGGGTCACTATTAGGTAATTAGCCATGAAGAATCAATGACAGCAGCCAGAGATGTAAAGCTGAGGTCCTCACACTTGCAGTCATTGGAGATTTTGTGACACTTTACATAAGGGTAGGGGTCTTGGGCCCCGCTCCTGGCCCAACTCCAGGCCGAGTAATTACATTCTGCCTATCTGAAATTCCCCCTGTAGTGTCAAGTGGGAAAGCAACTCTCATTTCCTTCTCAAAGCAGTGGCGGGTGCAGAATGTCAGCCTCGGAGCCTGGCTCCGCTTTAGCAGCGGGTGGAAACATCCAAGAGCTGCAGTCACCGACCTACTTAGCTTTGCAGGCTTTGCTAGTGAAAAGTGTGCTATAAGTTGAGCCTTTACCTGCAGCCTTGATGTCAAAACAACAGTGCTTTGAAGAAGAGACAAACAGCAGCACTGTGAATAAGAGCAGGTGCAGTACTGTAACACCTAAGCAGGCAGGAAGCTCTTACCTCTGCTCCCTCTCTGTCCGTCCCGTCTTTCTCTTTGCTCTGATGGATTTGGCGTGCGTACTGTAACTTCTGTCTGGTACTTGAGCCTCCTGCTCCTGCAGCTGTGAGACTGGGAAAGCCTGAAAACAAGCTGCCCCACACTGCTGCCAGAGCTCCCTGCCACCATGACTGAGCCCTCTCTGGGCTCAGACATTCTGGGCGTGTGTCTCTGTCAGACTTGGAAGAAGATCCTGGGAGGCATGACTAGACAAAAGATAATGGATAAATTTTAGCCTTTTCCTTGGTGTGGCTTCTTGGAAATGGCGAAGATTTCATCGTGATGAGTTTTGTGTAGTTCAGTTGCTGATTACAGGGCTAAGGACACTTCAGTGAGGGAATCACCCCACGGCCTGTATGGTTTCTGTCCCCTAAAGGCAGGGTGTGTGCAGTGGGGTGGTTATTGTAGTGCTCTAGGAAATCAGCTGCACACAAGTTGGATCTTGATGTGTAAGGGATAGTTGGGGTTTTTTGTGAGAGGTTCTTGCCCTCTGTTTGGTATTACTAGCCTGCACCTCACTGTTTAGCTTTAAATTCAGGGTTTTAAAAAGAAACATTTTTATTTTTTCTCTCTTCCATTAGATTTTTCCCGTCAGCCATATATTAATCTGTTTAATCAATTATTTTCCTGTTTCTGAAATGAAAAACATCTACAGTGGAAGCTCAGTGCACAAGAAATTCCTCCCTGCACACTTGATTTATTTGTTATTGTGCTGAGGAGTCATAAAATGTGAGCCCTGTGGAGCTCTGTGACATGGCTGTGTTCTCTGGCAGCACTGGGTGGGACCATATGGATGTGTCAGAGTGTGGATTTTCCTTCACATGCTGGTTGCAGAGCATCCATGCTACACCTACATGTTGCTGTGCATGCAGGCTGACCTCATCACAGTCTCTCACTTGGTTTTTAAGGAAATTCAGGTGTGCACTGAGTGGCTCTCCCTCCATTTCAACGTGGTGTAACCGCAAAGTGCTGCTGTAGGACTGAGGAGAAGACCTGTGAGGTTGTACTAACTGGGCTACCACAGGGACACCACCTCTGATTTACGGAGTGCCTGAGCCACAGTTTTCTGGAGGGTGGGAGGGCATGCTGGAAAGCATTACTGTATTTTTGCCCTGTTCTCATCCTCTTCCACCACCACGAGGTGTGGGATCCTGGCTGGACCTTTGATCTGGCTTGGCCTGGCTTATAACTGCGTGCAAAGTACTCTCTTTGCAGCAAGCAGTCCTCATGCTTCTGTGTTCAGCTCCCTGCTCTGCAGAGGTGAGGGTACCCTGTCTTACTTTCTATCCCCTGCTAAATCTCACTGATCCTGGGCTGTTTGCTGGCATTGGACCTTTCTGGAGTGTTAATGCTGACAAGAGCCTACAGCTGCTTCCCATTGCCAACCAGGGATTCCGTGTTTGTTACAGACATGCTGGGACACAGTAAATCTAATTTCTCTCCTTCTCCCACTATTCGTCTGCTGTGTCCAAGGTGACCACTCCAGAGAGTAACCATCTTGCCTGGCACTTTAATGTAGTGCTAATTCATTGTTAATTGCTGGGGCAGAGAAACCTGACTCCATTGGGAAGAGCATGAATCAGGCAGTTGTCTCTGGAGTGTCGGGGTGGATAAGCCAGTTCTTTGGAGTAATGAGCCACCATTGCAGCAAAGTACCTGCTTTTCAGAGCACAGGGAAACCTCGCCTTTCATTTCCTGCTGAGTTGACAGATAGGTCTGCTGAAGCTGGTAGGTACATGTTGAATTAAGAGCAATCAAATGTTGCTTTCTGATACATTGTTACTTTTGTCACTTTTTTAAGATAACATCCCTCCACCCACCCTTTTTTTTTTTTTGTCAGAAGCTTTGATTTAGACAAATCTGGCAATTTATAATAGTTCAGGTCATAAATCATAGGGGAACATTAGTGAATAAAAGAAGGCATAGTAGAAAGCTCTAGGAAAGCTCTTTTGTATTGGAGTTCACTGCAAACATTGTGGTTTCTCTTTAAATATGCAGAAAATAACATAACACAGAAGTAAATTAAATACTAATTTTGCCATTTTGTGAGAGATGGAAAGGAACAAGTATTTTAGAAATGACAATGAAATACAAAAGAGCAGAACATGGAGCCCTCATAAAAATGGGTCAAGGCAAGTGGCGATGGCAGTCCAATGAAACTAATTTCATATTCTCTTTCTAGAAGTAATAAAAGGGGAATGAACACCACAGTAGTGCTTCCTAATGAAATATCTGATTCTAAACAATGTCTTGGAGTTCATGGGTCACACAATGCATAGCATGCAGATGGAAAAAACAGTGAGACTTAAATTTTCTGTTCTTAAAAAATAATATTAATTAATAATATTTAGGCAATCATAGATGATGAGTGAATCAAAAATGTGTTATTCCATAGGGGAACACGATGTGCTTAATGATCTATAGGATGATGTGCACGGTGAGGTTTTGCTGTATTTGTGTGAGTTACAGCTGAGGATTTTGCATACTGGAAATTAGGACTGAGTCGTCTGTGAGACTTGGGCAAAAATTACTTTCCCAAACTATGCTAGCTCTCTGACAGTGGTGCTTACTGTTCCATTGAGACAATTTTTTTGTGGGGATGATGTGCCCTGTGATTCATTCTTAATGGCTACACCCTGATAGTTTTGCTTTTTGATCATTTCTCTGCACCCTACAGACAGATTGTGGGTGCCTATCCACTCCTTTTTGACTTTCTGAGCTCCTTAATCCGTGGCTGAGTGTGGTGTCCGCTCAGACAGGGGTGGTCAAGACTAGTGAGACAATTTGTACTCAGCAAACCCAGATGGACTTTAAGAGGTATTTCTGTTGCAGATTTATTCATTCCACTCAAAAGCTCAGAGCTT